AACCTGCTCAAAATACTCCAGATGCGGTCTCACCAGCAATTTGTACAGTTGCAGTAAGACTTTCCTATTCTTATACTCCAATCCTCTTGAAATAAGAGCCAACATTCCATTAGCCTTCAAGATTACTTTCTGCATCTGTGTGCTAATTTTGTGTTTCATGCACAAGTACCCCCAAGTCCCTTTGTGTTGCAGATTTGTGCAGTTTTTCTCCATTTAAAGATCATACTGTTGCTTCACTACTCCAAAATGAACAACTTCACATCTTCACACATTATACTCCATTTGTTAACATTTTGCCCATTTACTTAACCAACCAATATCTCTCTGTAAACTCTGTGTCCTTCTTGCAAACTGCCTTTCTACCTATTTTAGTGTCGTCTGTAAATCTGGCTACAAGCCACCTCCAACACCATGGTCTCTTAAGACTTGACCTTTAGTGAAGTACCCTGTCAAACATCCTTTGGAAGTCCACTGAGATACCAAGAACTGCAGATGCTGGAGTCAGAGACAACAATGTGTGGAGCTGGATGAACACAGCAGGCTAGGCAGCACCAGAGGAACAAGAAAGCTGATGTTTCGGGTCAGGACCCTTCTTCACATTCCCCTCCTTCTGTTTTGAGGAAGTTTCAACCATTCTAATAAAATTGTCAGATATGATTTCTCTTTCATAAAGCAATGCTGACTCTGCTTTGATTAGATAACAATTTTCCAAATGTCCTGCTATTACTTTTTCAAAATTGTTTCCTATTCTTTCCCAACAATAGATATTAGGCTAATCAGCACATAGGACATAGAACAGTACAGCACAGAAACAGGCCCTTTGGCCCACCATGTCTTTGCTGACCATAATGCCATTCTAAACAAATCCCATCTGCCTGCAGTCAGATTAGCAGTCATCCAATCATCTGATACTTCTCCATGACCCGAGGACTTTTGGAAAATTACAACAATGCATCCACTATCTCTGTAGCTACCTCTTTTGGGATCCTAGGATGCAAGCCGTCAGGGCTAGGGGTCATAACTGCCTTAAGCCCCATTATTTTGTCTAACACACAATTTCTATCCCGTATTCTTTATTTTATTCCACCATTAAAGACTGATGCAAAATATCTGCTAAACTCCTCTGTCATTTCCTTGTTCCCCAAAACCGTTTTCCCAGATTCATTTCCTAAGGGTGCTATGTTCACAATGACTTCACTCTTCCTTTTTATATATTGAAAGAAACTCTTATTGTCAGTTTTTAGATACCACACTAGTTTTCCGCTCAGTTTACTTTCTTTCTCTTTATCTTTTAGCACTCCTTTGCTGGATTGTTAAATTTAACCTCAAAGACTGGAAAAGCACTGGCTTCAGACTCCTTACATGCTTCTTCTCTCTTTACCTTCCTTGGTTAGCCATGGTTAGTTTATTCCATGCTTAGGATCTTTCCTCCTTACTGGGTCTTGCTGAGAGTCATGTATTACCTCCTCAAATGTCTACCATTGTACAGTTCACTTTAGCTAACTATCATTTCATTGTAACTCCCCTTATTTAAGTTAAACCTAGTTGTTTCTGATTTTCTCACTCTCGAACTGAATATTCAATTCTATCATGTTATGATCACTACTTCCTGAGGGATCTTTTACTTGGAAGTCATTTCTTAAACATGCCTCATTACCCATTACCAGAACCAACATAGCCTGCGCCATGACATATTGCTCTCGGAAACTATCCAATGCACTCTGTGAATTTCTGTTGTAGCTATCCTTTCCAATTTTATTAACCCAATCAACATGAAGATTAAAAGGGACCCAAAATTATTGCTATATTCTTTTTACATGCTGCTATTATTTGTTGATTAAAGCCTTTCCCACAGAACAGCTACTGTTTGGGGTCTGCACTCCACTCCTCCAATGTCTTCTTTCCCTTACTACTTTTTACCTTTGCCCAAACAAACTTGACATCATCCAAACCTACAACATTTCTCAACTGTCCTCATTCCATTTCTCATTAATACCTTTTCATTCTCCTATCCCTCTGAAAGAAGAATTATCCCTGAATGAGAAGTTCCCAGTTTGGATCTCCTTGGAACTATGTTTGCAAAATGGCTATGACAACGTATTCATTTACCTTCATTTGCACCTCCAGATCGTGCCTTATTCCAAAGGCTTTGCCCATTAAGATATGGGGAGGCAATGGCCTAGTGGTAATATTGCTGGACTGTTAATCCAGAAACTCAGGAAAATGTTCTGGAGACCTGGGTTCAAATCCTGCCATGGCAGATAGTAGAATCTGAATCTAATAAATATCTGGAATTAAGAGTCTAATGACTCTTACTTCAGTGGTGGGCAAATTACTGGAAAGTGCTCTGAGAGATAGGATTTATGATCACTTGGAAAGGCACAGTTTGATTTGTGATAGTCAGCATGGATTTGTGAGGAGTAGATCATGCCTCACAAACCTTATTGAATTCTTTGAAGAGGTGACCAAACACACGAATGAAGGTAGAGCAGTGGCTATGGTAGACATGGATTTAAGCAAGGCATTTGATAAGGTTCCCCATGGTAGGCTCATGCAGAAAGTAAGGAGGCATGGGATACGGGGAAATGTGGCAGATTGTCTTCTAAGGGTCAGCCAATTCTGAATCCAAAGGGTAGTAGTGGACGGAAAATATTCAACATGGTGCTCAGTTACAAGTGGTGTACCATAAGGATCTGTTCTGGGTCCTCTTCTATATGTGATTTTTGTAAATGATTTGGATGTAGGAGTGGAAGGGTGGATTAGTAAGTTCACGGACGATACAAAGGTGGGTCAAGTTGTAGATAGTGCGGAGGACTGTTCTAGGTTACAAAGGGACATTGATAGGATGCACAGCTGGGCTGAGAAGTGGCAGATGGAGCTTAACCCTGAAAAGTGTGAGGGGATTCATTTTGGAAGGACAAACTTAAAAGCAGAATACAGGGTTAACAGAAAGATTCTTGGCAAGGTGGAGGAGCAGAGGGATCTTGGGGTTCTTGTCCACAGTTCCCTGAAAGCTGACACCCAGGTGGATAGAGTTGTTAAGAAGGCGTATGGTGCGTTAGCTTTCATTGATAGAGGGATTGAGCTCAAGAGCCGTGAAGTTATGCTCCTGCTATACAAAATCCTGGTTCGGCCACATCTGGAGTACTGTACCCAGTTCTGGTCACCTCATTACAGGAAAGATGTGGAAGCATTGGAAAAGGTGCAGAGGAGATTTACCAGGATGTTGCCTGGAATGGAGGGAAGGTCTTACGAGGAAAGGTTGAGTGAGCTAGGGGTTTTCTCTTTAGAACGACAAAGGATGAGAGGTGACTTGATAGAGGTGTACAAAATGATCAGAGGTATAGATAGAGTAGACAGCCAGAGACTTTTTCCTCGGGTGGAGGTAGCTATTAAGAGGGGGCATAGTTTTAAAGTGAGTGGAGGGAGATATAGGGGAGACGTCAGAGATAGGTTCTTTACTCAGAGAGTGGTAGGGGCGTGGAATGCATTGCCGGAGAGGCTAGCGGAGTCGGCCTCATTTGGGGCATTTAAGTGGCTATTAGATAGGCATATGGATGATAGTACAAGGTAGGGGTGGAGGTTAGATAGACCTTAGGTTTAGGGTAAAAGGTCAGCACAACATCGTGGGCCAAAGGGCCTGTATTGTTCTATGTTCTATGATGACCATGAATCCATTGTTGATTGTTGGTAAAACCCATCTGGTTCACTAATGTCCTTGAGGGAAGGAAACTGCCTTCCTTACCTGGTCTGGGCTACATGTGATTCCAGACCTACAGCAATGTGGTTGACTCTTAACTCCTCTCTGGGCAATTAGGGATGGGCAATAAATGCTGCCTAGCCAGCGACACCATCGTCCCATGAATGAATAAAGAAAAAAAAAGCCATATATTTGTTCTATTATTGAGCTTCCCTACAATTTCAATGATTTCTCAGTACAATATCTCATTTTCACATCCTATCCCTTTTTATTTTCTGGTAACAATCGACCCCATCACTAAACTGCACCATGACTATGTCACGCTGTTGATGTTTGGGATGGATAGGTGGAGGTGGTCTCAGGAAGTAAGCAGGTTTGTCCTCCAGGGGAAAAAGGAAAGGGAAGCAACTGTTGCCAATTTTCATGGCAAAAAAGCGTCCTCACACCGGCTGGTGATGGGAATCCGAAGTCTTTAAAAGGAAAAAAATGCCTTTTCGAAAAGACCAATTTTAACAGGTTTGCTCAATTTAGCTGAAGACATCGAATTTCCAAATGCGGATTGGAGGACACCGAATGAACAAATCATGCAGTTCTAAAAAAAATACGTTCTGACACGACAAGTGACATCGAGCACGCAGGGCAGCAAATAAGATTACATGTTATTGGTAACCTGAATGGGTATTTGTCTGCTGAGCCTGTAGCAATCTTGGTGAGACAGTTTATGCACTTAATTTGCTCCTGACTCAGTTTCTCCCATAATCCGCAATGCAGTTTAATCTGACACCACTTCAATTGCAATTTAATGGCAGCTATCCGGTGACCTGCGAGTCTCCTTCTATCAGCCTCCATTCCTCGCTAATGCAAATTGACAAGTTATTGTTTCCCATCCCAACAAAAAAAAATTGTCACCGGCTGGGAGACATTAATCGCAAGAACGTCGCTGGTCGAATTATATACCTGCAACTTGCAATTAGTTTCTTACTAAAGAAGTTTTTTTTTTAAAATATAATGAAAAGCAAGATGAAAATGAGCGTACAACGGATGCCTTGTATGCACTGATTACAGGCGGGTGGGGGATTTGCTGACCCGGCCATTCGGAACTGATGGCGAAGCGCGCGGAGACAGGCCGTGAATCCCAATCGGCCGAGTTCCCCTGGCACCCCCCGTGGCGGTATAAAAGGCCTTGTCCAGCGGCATCAAGCGACCGTACGAGCTGCTCTTCGGCCGTTCAAGGTTGACCGAAGAACTTCGGACGAATTGACCATTCCTTCCTTCCCCCCCAAAAATAGAAGATTTTTACCCTTCTCCGAAGGTCTGATTTTCTCGGTGCAATTTAAACCCCTCCGCTCCCCTCCTTTTACCCTTTGCAAACACGCCGGCTCCGCGTCCACTCCGTCTCCAACCGTCCCGCCCCTCAATGCAGTTTGAACTCGGCACGCGCCCACACAGCCAGCCAATCGATGCGCTCCAGCTCCCAACCGCCGCCGCCAACGCCCCTCCCCACCGAGGTTTGGCAGGAGGTGTAGTCCGTCAGCGGCAATAGTACCCTGTAGGAGGCGAGTAAATATGTACAAGCGAAGTTCGTTTACCGATTTATGCCCCGAATCGTATTGCCGCAGTCCATGAAGTTTTTTGGAAGTATAATAACCCTGTAGTAAAGGAGGAGCCAATTAGCGCGCAGCAAGCTCCCACAAACAACAAACCAAATTGTCCGTTGCATGTTGACTGAAGGATAAATACCGAGGCTTGAGAGAACAGCCCTCCTGGCTTCCAACAGTGCCACACAATCTTTTACGTTTTTCCTAGAGGGCAGCTGGAGCCATGGCAGACAGAACTTACAGTAGTGTTACTTTCACTGTAGTTACAGCACTCCCGTTATAATTTTAACACCACCTACTTGCTTTTGTGCTCCACGCCCCTATTAGTAAATGCTGAGTTGCTGAATGTTTTATTAACTATTCAAAACCTACCACCATTTGCTGTATACTTCAGGTCCAACAGCTCTGCAACCCCTTTAGAATTGTATCTTTTCCTTTATTCATTCATGGGATATGGGCATTGCTGGTGAGGCAGCATTTATTGCAGTTTCCCTCCCTGAATGACATTAGTGATCCAGATGGGTTTTTCCAACAATCAACAATGTATTCATAATCATCATTAGACACTTAATTGCAGATTTTTTAAATTGAATTCAATTTCTACCATTTGCCGTGGCAGGATTTGAACCCGAGTCTTCAGAATACTATTTGGGTCTCCGGATTAACAGTTCAGCCGTAATACCACTGGTATGGTGTAGTGTCGCCACTCTGGCTCCATCTTAAAACACAGAAAAATAAACCAAAGCATACAATATAAAGGTAGAAAAATGAAGAAATAAAGAAAAAGTGCTCAAATGTACAGTCCTTCTTGTTAAGTGCCTTGTCGTGGGCCCTGGGATTAGTGGCCAGGCACTAGTTGCCTTCGCTGCACTGACGCTGCTAGAATGAAATTCACCACTCATCAGCACCATCTTGCCTCCACTGAAGCACTCACCAATATGAGTCTTCGATGGACTTTGTGAACGCAGATGCCACCGGGTACTACACTGACCCAAACTCGACTCTGCCAGCGTCATGAGTCTACTTCAGGCCCACCTCGCCATTGCAGCCGCTGCTGATGCCATCAGGTCTCGTAATGGACCCAATCTTGTTTCCTCTGCCACCTCCACAAATCTGTGCCTGATGCAGTCACCGCTCAGAACCCAAACTCACCTCCTTCACAGCAGCCATGAGTCAGCACTAGGAATGCCTCAACAATGTTGAAGCCACTGGGAACCCAAACTCGCCACTGACGCTGCTGCCATGAGTCCACGCTGCTGCGTCTATTCGAGTCTGCGCTGCTCGGCCCACTCACTGCTGTTGACATTGCCACCATGGCTGAGCTCTTCAAGAAGAAGTGTATAAAAAAGGGAAAGAAATGAGAGAAGTAAAAATGAAAAGCGGACGAGTCCTGGGCTCAGAAACCCTACACCACTGCCATCTTACTGGAAGGTGTGTGTCAGTGGTAAGTCTGCCATCAAGCAAGGCAGCTAAGAACATAAAGATAGAAAGAAGGAGGTAATGGATTGAAAAAGAACACAAAGCTTTCATTCCTGTTATAAACCAATTGCCTTCACAATTCATATAATTCTGTTATAACAGGATTCCAGCGCACTTATTTAATTCCCTGAATAAATTCTATAAAGCTCAATGAGAAATCATTAGCACAAATGTGTAAGTTTACCAAAGGAATTAGGAAGACCCTACCTTTAATCCTGACTCAACCTATTTTAGCCAGGAGTGGGAATAGGGCATTGATATTGGTCTCAGCACCACTGAATAAAGCAAAATGAACTAGACTTCTTTTTTATGCTTGATGTTCAATAACCCCTACATTTCTCAGGTGGGAGGATCAGGCTTAGTTCTAGTGTCTACATTACCTTTAGTAGAAGAGTATGCTGGACTCAAAATGTTAACTTCTTTTCACTCTGCACAGATGCTGCCAGATTTCCTGAGTTTCTCCAGCACCCTCTGTGTTTGTTTCTTATATTACTCTTTGGCTTGCACTTTAAAAAATGATTAAGATACATGAGTACATGCTGTTTGCAGAAGTATCAATCACAGCAGAATAATCAGCTAAAAAGACTTATTTACATTTATGCCATTCAGGATTTCAAAGGTTTGTTTTAGGTCTGTTTTATGTCCGTTTTTAGTCTTTCCATTTAAAAGATATAAATTTAGCTCTGAATTTCTGGTCAGTTGGAGCCTTTAATCCCAGAATGACTGTCTTTCTTCTATAAACTGTTTAAAGACATAAATAAACACTTAATGATAGGCAGCCAAACATCACAGCAAATAAACTGGTAATATGGCCTCATCAATGACACACGTGATGCCATTGCCAGGTATCCCAAATAGATCTAAATTAAGCTTATCTGGCATATAAGCTCATAATAGAGCATCAGAAGATCAGGGTATAAATCAAGAAAATGGAAGGATTTGCTTTTAAACGAAACAGATATGCATAAAACAACTCTGAAACAACCATGACAGTTTAAAGCGAGTGATATGTCATACTTTCTCTGTCGTACTGCCTGATCCACCTGTGTTCATCAATGGTGTCATGATGGTTATTCAGATGGACACATCATTCATGGGATGTGGGTTTCCAAGGCTAAGCCAGTGTTTATTGCCTATCCTGAACAGCCCATGAGAAGGTGGTGGTGAGCTGTTTTCTTGAACAGCCGTAGTCCAGGGGGTGCAGTTACACCCATGTACACAGTCCTGCAAAGAAGGGAGTTCCTGGATTTTGACTGAGTAACAGTGAAGGAACATTAATATAGTTCTGAGCCAGAAGGATCTATGACTTGGAAGGGAGCTTCAAGGCAGAGATGTTTCCATGCATCTGCTGTCATTGTCCTTCCAGATGAAAGATGTTGCAGGCTTGGATGGTGTTATCGAAGCAGGCTTGGATGGTGTTGTCGAAACAGGCTTGGTGAGTTGCTGCAGTGCATCTTTTAAGTTGTACGCACTGATATCACTGTGCATTGCTGGTGAAGGGTTGAATTTTGTAGGTAGTTAGTGGGGTGCCAATGTTGCAGGGCTGCATTGATCTAGATGGTGTTAAGCTCCTTGAATTTTATTGGAGCAACATCCACTTAAGTGAGTGGAGAGCATTTCTTCACAATCCTGACTTGTACTTTGTAGATGCAGACAGGCTTTGGAGAGACAGGAGGTGAATAACTCACTGGAGAATTCCTAGCCTTTGACCAATTCTTGTATTTATAGTATTTCTATGGCTAGTTCAGTTCAGTTTCTGATCAATGCTAATGCCCAAGATGTTGATAGTGGGGCATTGCCTTTGAAAGTCAACGGGAGATGGTTAGATTCTGTCTTGTTGGAGATGATCATTGCCCAGCAATTATGAAGACTGAATATTACCTCCTAGGTCAACATAATGAAGGACGAAGTGTTGGGTGTATTGAAATACATTAAGGTATACACATCCTCAGGGCCAAATGGGATCTATCCCAGGCTACTGTGGGAGGCAAGGGAGGAAATATCTGGGGTCTTAACAAATATCTTTGCATCTTCTTTGGCCTCAGACGAGGTTCCAGAGGACTGGAGAACAGCCAATTTTATTCCTTTGTTTAAGAAGGGAAACAGAAATAATCTGGGTAATTACAGGCTAGATAGCCTGACATTAGCGGTGGGGAACCCGTTGGAGAATATATTGAAAGACAGCATTTATTCATATTTGGAAGCAAATGGACCTGTTAGTGATTGATAGCATGTCTCACCAACTTCATTGAGTTTTTTGAGGAGGTGACAAGAATGATTGATAAGGGAAGGGCAGCGAATATTGTCTGCATGGACTTTAGAAAGGCATTTAATAAGGTACCTCATGGTAGGCTGGTACAGAAGTTAGAGTCTCATGGGATCCGAGATGAGCTGGCTAGATGAATACAAAACTGGCTTGGTCGTAGAAGACAGAGAGTAGTGGTGGAAAGGTGATTTTCGGAATGGAGATCAGTAACTAGTGATATTCCACAGGGATCAGTGCTGGGACCTTTGTTGATTGTAATATACATAAACGATCTACAGGAAAATGTAGGTGGTCTGATTAGTAAGTTTGCGGATGATACCAAAATTAGTGGAGTTGCAGATAGTGAGGAGGCTTGTCAAAGGATACAGCAGGATACAGGTAGATTGCAGATTTGGACAGAGAAATGGCAGGTGGAGTGTAATCTGGTCAAATGCGAGGTAATGCATTTGGAAGATCAAATTGAGGTGCAAATTATTCAATAAATGACAGAGCCCTTCGGAGCATTGACATATAGAGGGATCTGTATCCGTCCACAGATCCCTGAAAATGGCAACACAGGTGGATAAAAACTGAAAGAACTGCAGATGCTGTAAATCAGGAACAAAAACAGAAGTTTCTGGAAAAGCTCAGCAGGTCTGGCAGCATCTGTGAAAAAAAATCTGAGTTAACGTTTCAGGTCCGGTGACCCTTCTTCAGAACTCAGAACCGTTCTGAGGAAGGGTCACCAGACCCGAAAGCTAACTCTGATTTTTTTCTTCACAGATGCTGCCAAACCTGCAGAGCTTTTCCAGCAACTTTTGTTTTTGACACAAGTTGGTAAAGTGATCAAGAACTACACAGCAAGCTTGCCTTCATCAGCTGGGACATTGAATATAAAAGTTGGAAAGTTAAGTTACAGCTGTTAAAAACTTTAGTTAGGCCACATTTGGAATATTGCATGCAGTCCTGGTCACTACACTACCATAATGACATGGATGCTTTGGAGAGGGTGCAGAGAAGGTTTACCAGGATGTTGCCTGGCCTGAAGTGTTTTAGTTATGAAGAGAGTTTGGAAAATTTAGATTGTTTTCACTGGAAAGACAGAGGCTGAGGGGCATCCTGATAGAGGTCTACAAAATTATGACAGGCATAGATAAGGTGGGTAGTCAGAGGCT